ATTTGTAGCGGCGTCTACCTTATAGACTCTTATTTTGACGGTCTGATTAGGATGTCTCAAATCAGTATCAGTGATCTTGATGAACAGACCACCTTACCTATGCTCTTCAATCTCTTTCACTTTGCACACATGATGGATTCATGAGAAAGAATGAAGTTTGTCAACACAATTGTATTCTCAAATCTATTTTCTCTTTCAATTTTTTTTATCCAGAGCTTAAAAATACTTCAAATCAATTTCAATACTTGTTCATGCTGCTTGTTCACCACTGAGGAGAAAAACAAGCTGATATCACCTGGTCTTCCATTTGAGGTTTTCTTATCATCTGAGGATCGAAATTTGAGCTTCAACAAGTTTCTCCCTTTTTTAAGTTTTCAAATTCCATCTTTTTTTTTTTTAAAGGCATATTCTACGACCCCCAGGAGTTGTCTGCATAGATCAGCCTCCTCTCAGACAAGTATGGCCTCTGAAGGCATGCGAGTCCTTGACTGCTAAAGCCGTGCCTGCTTAACTTTCGTTCACCAGCTGCATCAGCCACAGCCCTCTGTCATTCCCTCTTCTCAGCTCCTTCCACCACCGCCCTGCGTGCACCCGCCGTCTGCGGGGGCAGCACTTCTGACAGGGTGACTGCGGCTCTGCTGCCCTGAGTTGAGCTAAAATACCCCCAGGGACCCCAGTTACTCCAACCTCTGCACACACAGCAGTACAGCACCCAATGAGACAGCAGAGGCAGGGTCCACCCCTCCCTCCACAACCCCCCCGGCTCTCCTCGCCACCAAGCATTCCTCTCTGCGCGACACAGGAACATCTTATGCATTATTAAAAGACACTTTTCCTAAAAGGCTGCCAGCAGATTATTCTGCAACCACGGTGACATATCTGGAGACTGAAAATGTCCGCACAGTGGCCCTCAAGGATATGATCAGCCAGGTAGCTTCAGCCTGCTGACAGCGTCGTCAAGCGACAGGGATTTAAAGTCAGTAATATAAATCAGCTAACACTGATTTGAACAGCAATATCTGATTCCCTTCAAGATGTTGCTGTAAAGTCTAGCCCCTTGAGTTTATTTTTCAGGATGGGACAATAGCTATTAAAACATTTACACATAAATGGCTAATTTTCATTTGTACTCCCATAAGTGACGTTTTAAAGTGCTTTAAATGCAGCACATCAGCTGCAATGATATGGGATAAACATGATTTAGACAATTGCAATGTCCATTTTTGGCTCAACTAAGAGCACGGGCAAATGATTTAGTTGAACAATAGAAGGAAATAAATAAAGTAAAAGTAATTACAGGGTTTATCAACAGCTTTCTATTCAGTTCCATATATGCCTGGTATTTTATCCATGCATCCATTAAAAGTATGACTTTTTATACTGTTTATAAAGCCAATCTTAAAATGTTAAATACAAGCTATTAAAGCTTGGCAGAGATATAGTTATGCATTTATGGATATGGGAAGCAACAGTGTGATCAGAGGTTTTACATAGAGTCACATGCTAACATGTCTTAAGTACATTTATTTAACAGCCATCAATTTCATCTTCATTGCTATTTGTCTTGTAAATGATCACCGTACTGTTGGAGGATGAATTTATCATCAGTTTCACTTTATCCTTGGAGGAGCAATGTTACAAAACTGATATATTTTGCTTTACTTCAAATAAAAAAAAAACAATTCTGTTCTTGTAGTGTAAAGTTGGCCCTCTAGGGCCTCTGTCCTGCAGGTTTTAGAGGTTTCCCTGCTTCAGCATAGCTCATCTCCATGAATAGCTGATTAACAGCACTTTTGCAAAACTGCAATCATCAGATTGAGCTGTGCTGAAGCAGGGAAACATGGAAGCCCTGCAGGACAGCAGCCAGGATTTTTTTTTTGGACTCTTTCTGCCATAAAAACAAGAATCGTTTCGATGAGAGTAGAAGGCCCATTCTTAAAGAAACAAAATAGGGCTGAAATAAAAGAGAGTTTAATATGTCTGCCTGAAATTAAGCAATAAACCTGAGCATATTTGAAGTGGTTTATTTTAAAAGAGGCTTGAAACATTGGTAATAACAAAACACAGGTTATATCAGGCTTTACTTATGACACGTTGGAGTTAAGCTAATAAGTTTGGCTGAAATGTAACAATGCATTGCATAGCTTCCAAAAGGGGGCGTGTCCTTAAACGTTCAGAAGTAAAGATCCACAGTTTATTGTCAAGTCTAAGTTTAATAATAAGTTCACCTAGAGTGGAGAAATCCACCAAAACACATCAGTTTTAATTTATTTAGATTACCTATTTGTTGTGGCCATAATTTAAAAACCCTATTAATTTGAACAGAATGCAAATAATTAGTCATCTTTCTAAAGTATATATATATATATATATATATATATATATATATATATATATATATATATATATATATATATATATATACATACATATACAAGAATGTCTATTTTACTGGAATAAATCTGATATCTTTCAAAATTCTTTTTAAATGTTGAACATCAGTTTAAATAGTTTTTTGTTTTCTTTTGTTTATATATATATATATATATGTATCTTTTTGATAATGCTAAAATCTAGTGTGTAAAGCTGTTCTTATAAAACTGACACACTTGTTATAAGGCATTAAGTATTTAAAGTAATGATGTATACAATAGCGATGTGGCCAAATGCTCCACTAGGGGGCGCATCGTTAAATTTCTAAATATAATCTAATTTCCATTAGAATATGTTGAGATAGGCTATGCCACCTAAATAATGAGTTTACTCGTAAAAAAAAATGTGTTGAAGATATGTAATTTTACTTTAACATATGAGTGCTTTTATGTTGTAATTTGATTTTTAAATTATTTCAAAAAGTCGATTTAATTCAATTGCTATAAATTTCAGTCCCAAATTATTTTATTATGTAAAGCCCCTGAGCCAAAGATTGATAATTAACGTGAATTAATCCTTTTTTATGATAACAGTAGAGGACATGTCTCTTGAAAAAGTTAGTATAAAGGCCATAACTTGTTGTTTCTTAACAGCTTCTGCTGATGCCAACATCTGCATCAGGTCTTATTTTATGGGATCATCAGCAAATGTTAAAACTGAAACTATGAATGTTTGACTTCATTGATGTAAAGTCTGTTTATATAATTATGCAATAGCGATAAACCGAACAGCTTGATTCAAATGCAATACCGTAAATAGCGATGTAGGAAGAGCTTCCACAAGGGGGCGCATCCCAAAATGCCCCCAAAGAAACGCCTGATTTCCAAATGTATTCCCACCTCCGCGAGTATTTGTCTCCTCAATATTCTACTCATTGGTGGAGGGGGGAATGCAGCAAAGCCTGAACATATCATCTTCTCATCACTCCACCTCCGTGTTGTTCTCAAATTCAACCCAAACTTCACGAACAAAGGAAGAACTTACATTTATCACGTCCCTTGGTTAAAGTCCATTCTCTAGAAATGTTCAACAAGTTCAGAGCAGCGGGAATGAGCAGTGAAAGGAGAAACGAAGCTCTTGTCTTTAAGGTGCGCTCCTCGGTGGGAATGTGATGAGTGCGCACGTCGGTCTCCGAGGAATCGTTGCGCGCACCATCCCCAGCTCACTCTTTTCCTTCCAATCTTTTTTTTTTTTTTTTTCCACCCTCCTGCCACTTCAAAATAAATGAGCGATCACCGTCCTGAGGGCTCGGTCAGCAGCGCGCCTTGTTGTTGAGACGGAGGGATTTCTGGACGAGAGCTGCAGGTGCCAAAGTGTCCATCATCCTCTCTCTCCCAAGTGGCGCTCCATCACCGCGTCAGGGAAGAAAGAATTAAAGAAATCCTACCACAGAGGGGGAAAGTTTGACCCGCTGGTGTAGAGATCCTTCTATTTTCATCCTACAAATAGATCTCTGTCTCTCAGCTGGGGGTGCATGAAGCCCACCACTTATTATTCTCGACTGCTGAGGAGATCCGCATCTTCTCCCGGTCGCGTTTCCGTGCCACACCGAGCGCCCAGATAATGCGCTCCCGGGCTCACGCTCAGCGCACTCAGCTTTTTCCTTCTGGTTTCTCACACACACGCGCACACACACCTTTATGGTATTTATCCCCACCTCCTCCAGCTCGTCTTCAAACTGCAGCCACCACCGAGCCGCTCACATTTAGCATCAGCACCATTATTCTCTGTCGGGACCACGCAGAAACTCCAAAGGGAGGAGTTGAACCTCTTTTAGTGGAGTTCACTAGTGTCCCAAACGTTGCGCGCCCCAGCAGCCTCAAAGGAATTATATCGTTTAGAAAAAAGTCAAAAGTAGTAATAATAAAAGTAGCAGTAGACATCTGGATAATTTTAGAACATCTTGGAGTTCGGATTACATCTGAAAAATATTTGTCTGAGCTATGATGGTAATCTAAAACGCATTTCCAATAGGAGTGCGCAATAATTGATTTATTTGTTTAATACAAGAAAAAGAAGCAGGCTGGCAGAGATGTACCAATCAATTTGCCAACACTTGGATCTTTTCTGCTCTAATTTGTGATTAACAGTTCAAATAATACTCATTAAGTGCATCAAAGCTAACTTCCAACAGTTTTTTTTTAGTCTGAGCGTTGGAAACTGATGTCATAAGGAAATACTGCATCCAAGCAAATAAATGGAAAGTTGGGTGGAAGGAAAACTTGGGCTGATATCATCTGACATCACATGTTTCTTTGAAATGTCATGGTCTTAAGTGAAATTTTGATTTTATCATGTAAGATCAGAAAGAAAAGCTTGGTTAATTTCCCCTGTATGCTTATTTATTAATATGCATTATCCTTTTCTGTCCTTTATAGGAACAGTTTTCAGATATAAGTCAACCACTCATTACCCCGCCCTCAAATATCAACTGAGGAAACTCATAGGACCAATATTAGGATATTAGCATCACTGCAAAATTGTGGATACATTACAAAGAGGCCCAGAAAACAACAACAACAAAATATTTTTCAAATATATACTATTTTGGTATTTCTAACAAACATGTATTAAACCTTTTCTCATCATTTTATCATGCGTAAAGGAGTCTATGTCTTAACCCCTCAGACATAGGAAATTGATATTTTCCTTAATGAATGAGAACGTTTCACATATTCAGAACATATCTAAAATTTTCCAACATCTTCCATCTTTGTTGTACATGTGGAAACTTTTTTTCACAAGTTTTCCTGCATGTGTTACGTGTTGCTACATTTATGTGAAATGCACTCAGAGGCGAAAAATGTTCAACATGTGGAGTCATGTGGGATTCACATGGACACCACATGCTTTCCCATCGATTTCATTAGGGAAATTTAATGTAGATCAATTGGACCAATACCAACACCCATATAATAAGGACAACTGACATAGTACCTATGTGTGAGATGGTTCACATGCAGTGGTCTGATCAGGACCTTGTATTTATTTTTTTTATTTAAAGTAATCTTTCCGAAAGCGCTCCTGCAGATTAATCTTTTGAGTTCATCATAATCAGAGTCTGTTTCTCTTCTTCTAGCTTCTCCAGCTCTTCCCAGATTCACACTTTAACTGATTATCACAGTGGGTGAGGCGGGTTGTGCCAAGAGGACTTGGGTCATGGCACTTAACGCACGGGTTACAGTTTGACAACCCTCCTACACGTCTCGGTGTGTCGGAGGTTTCCCGTTAGGAGCTCAGTCTCTGTAAAATGCAGGTCAGGAAAATTGCTGAAGTTTCACCTGTGAGGTCCTCATTAGAATCAGAGGCATCAAAGAAAGACCGAAAAGTGTACAAAGGAAAGGTGAGAGGGAACGGATTCTTTTACGCACAGATTCCACCTACGTGCGCCCTTGAAATAAACCGCTAGAGATGATATAGGGTAAATAATAAATACATTCTAAAATATAAATTCTAATATTTGAAGCCTGTCTTCTAACTCGAGCGTCAAGATTTCATCTGATTTCTTACCAAGACGTTGGTTGTTTGTTCTCAGCACTGAAAAGGTGCAACCTGAAACTAAACCACACAAGCAGATAAAGAGAAAAGGAAAACAGAAAGCTCTTGCTCTTAAATCGTACTTTTCATTACAAACGACGCACAGGTTTTGGCCACCTACCCGGCGTGCGTCACAGCGGAGCTTCAAAAACTTTACGCGCCCCAGGCGTCTGCGCCAAGATTCATTACAAAATAATAGTCCTATCAATAAGTTGAATTGTTTGAGCCTCTTACCGTTGTTTTTTTCAGTGCTTCTCTCCGTTCAGATCAGCCCTGTGGAGTGACCGGTTGCAGCCTAATAAATCCACTTTAAAGCGGGACATGTTTGCGCGGTGAGGCGCGTTGCAGCGGGGGCTGGGGTCCGTTGTTCCAGGGGTAAAATGGACAGCTCCCGGTAACCACAGTCAGGGCTCAACGGTGTAGAAAACCCTTCAACGTAATATATTTTTTTAGCAGGATGAAGCTGGCTAAAACATAAATAATAAAAATAGTCCGGGTGGTTTCCTTGAAAGCGCCTCAGACACAGCAGCGAGCGGCCAGACGCGCTGCTCTCAGACACAATGAGGCGCTAAGGCTTTGACAATTGACTTTCACCTGAAGTCTAATTCTTCGCGGAAGCCCGTCCTCAGCAGTTGAACCCAACCACACAAACATCAAGTTAACACTAATTATGAATGAGTTTGAGGATGTTTCTCATCACTTATCGCTTTATTATGATCACAGTAAAGATCCTAGAGCGCGACAACAGAAGGTTATATTTCACAAGCATTTGGGATTTTTTTTTTTATACCTTTGGAGGTTTTAAACAGATAGAAAACAACAAATAACCCTCTTTTTACAGACATCTGAATCTTTAATGGTTAAAATTAATGTTTGGCAACTTGTTCCAAGATTGACACGTTTATTGAACCTGATAATTGGCTTTAAAAGTATTCACACCTATTAATGGTTTTTCACCTTTCACCACATTATCACCTCAAACATTAATTGATTGATTGTTAGCCAAAAGAATATAGATTAAGTAGGAAAAAAAAGAGGAAATTTGATTTAATTGTATTTTACTAAAGCAATTTTTAATAGTGCACTTGGGGTACATTATGCTACATTTGATACCCTGAGATAAACACAAATGCAACACGTTTTTTTTTTTGTTTTTTAAGTCTCTAAACTAGAGTCTCAGTGCATTTGGCAGCACCAATCATTTTTCAGGAAGCCTTTTTTTTTCAACATTAATCAAGCTGTTTTTGTGAAGGCTTTGTTGGTTTGTTAAATAACGTGAGTGGTCAATAAAAATCTAGACCACATGGTCATAGATATCTAAACAACATCTAGTTATAAAACAAACCCCAAGATTTGATAATCTCCAGTTGCACTGAAAATGAAATTATTTTAAAATTAAAGATATGGTTGTCCACTTAAATCAAACTGGAAAGGAGGATATTATCCAGAACAGCAGCCAAAAACCCTCCCTGTAACTCTGGGGGAGCCACAGAGAACCAGAGCTCAGGTGGTATTTCCTCAGGTCATAGTTTCAAATCTGGAATGTATGTAGTGGCTAGAAGACAAACACTTTTTTTAAGTCATAAGTCAACCAACATAAAGGTGAAAGTTGGAGCTCTGGACCAAATTTGAACTTTTGGTGCTTGAGAGCGTGTTGTGCTTCTGCACACTGCACATTATTCAGAACGCACAATGGATGGAGCCACTCTAAAAAAGGCAAAAAAAAACTTGGTTAGACTAAGGTGGAGATTTTCCTTCCGAAAGGCAAATATCCTAATCTGAAAGCACCTGTCAGGATGGCCCAGTCAAAGCCCAGAACTAAATCCCATTGATCATCGGTGGCAAGACAATATGTACAAATGTTTGCCATTCAGTCTGACTAAGCTTGAGCAATTTTGCAAAGAAGAATGGATAAAATATTCAGTCTATTTATTGGGTCCATAGCTGGTGCTTCTAAGCAAAGCGGTTTATACGTATGCGAGTTCTTGATTTCTATTTGTAAAAATAGGTGAACACAACTCAACCTTTCCTCTTTATTCTACAATGTTACACTACCTGCTGTGGGTGTATTATATAAAATCCAAATAAAATTCCCAATATCTGTAATGTGGAAAATCCGTGAAAGTTCTGTAGGTTATTTTTAAGGCATTCCAATAAGTGTTCATAAATGTGTCTAAATAAAAAAAAAAAAAACAATTTAAGCTCAGTAATGCTGCCATCTATATGAGTACAGGTTCTATGTTAGGCTGTTTTCAGTCAGTGTATTCTCATTATCAGTTCGTAGTGTTGGGATCTGGAGAAGTTCTACCTTTCTCCAGCAGAGTTTGCCGTGGATCCTCCTTAGCTGAGCCTTCGACACACCTGAGGTGCATCTCATCATCAGGAGGATCCTCCAGTATATAACCGGCCTTCAGACCTTGCCTCAACGCTGCAGTGTTTATCCAGTTTGGTTAGCACCTGAGCCTAGCATCTCCTGAGTACCTTCGTTGCTTCTGTTCCCTGGTTGGATTCTAATCCCTCTTTGTCTCTGCTTACAGGAATCCAGTTTCCCTTGTAAGCTCTGGATGAGCTTAACCTGCCGAGCCTGCCCTCTGAGCCAAACCTGAAGACTCTTCTCTGGATTCTGCTCTGGACTAAGAGCTGGAAACCCAAAGTCAAGGTCTGCCCTCACGCTAGAAGCAAGACGCTGAAGCGGTTACTGAACTCTGCTGAACTAAACAATCTCTGGACCCAACAGTTCCTCTCTCAAAGCCAAACCCGGACTCCTCAAGGTATAAATCAGAAACTCTCAAACTCATCTGCTCCCAAGCTAACTGAACTGTCATCCTCACAGACTCCAGTGAACCTGCCCCCAGGCCTGAACCAGTTCCTGAGTTTAATCGTTGTGCTTGTGCTTAATTAAACTTGTTAAACTTTTCATCTGTCTCCGTGGTGTTCTGCATACTGGGCTTTTCTGAAACCCATCATGACACGTACGAAATCGTACGAAAAGTTATGCACCGTAATTTCGTCTGTTTTGGACGTTTTTTTCGTGGTATTTCGTCGTATTTTTACGTCTTGCCTCGAGACAAGATATCCTTGCGCATGCGCATCTTACGCACCATTCAATAACATAGAATTTA